ACATATATATATATATATATACATATGTACATACATGCATACATACATACGTACATGCATACATACATACATACATACATACATACATACATACATACATACATACATGCATGCATATCCTCCGGAATCCTCCTGTACAAGTCAAGCTCCTGCAAGCGAGGCACAGACTTGCCATGGAATGCTCACCGCTCGTGGGCGAGCCGACCTGAAGCTAAGCTCCGAGCTGCACGCCAACCTCACCTACAAGTACGCACTCGTTTAGGATACTAAGAAGAGGGATGGGCCTCAGTTCGAAGGTACGGAAGTCAGAAGTCAGCCGAGGTGCCAGTGCTGCGATGCCGAAGACGGAGCCCATCAACAGTTCTATGCAGACTTCACCGTGGAGGCCTTTGCCAGCAATCGTGATGAACACCTGGGAAAAGCAGGCTCTGCCCACAACGCCTTGCAGATCGCCACACCGAACTCCGTACAGCTGAGCTGAAGCTTGAGTGACCGATCGGGCGACGAGACGACTAGGCTACAAGTTACCTGCAAGTGAGGCCCATGCTCGATCTCAGGCCGTGCTTGCCAAGAAGCCAAGAGCGCTTCCACCATGCCAGCTCGCGCCATGCGCCTGGAAAGCAGAGGCGAGCAGAAGCCGAAAAGTCTTAGATCAGATGCGCAAAAGATTTCCTAAGACCCTGAAGCTCTCGACATGAATCTAGCCTGCGTGGAAGATTCCAAGTCATTGATGCCGATAGCCCTTAACTTACGTCTAGGTGCTCGTGATATTCGTAGGAGGCCCGTGCTAGCTCGGACAGCAGTGCGCATTGCAAGGCGGCAATCTGGTAGAAGTGCTCGTCACGCTCCTGTCGCATTGCTGAAGTGACCGGCCGGAGCCTTGAGGACTTTCAGCCGGATTCGCACGCACTTGGAAAAACCGGGAGGATGCGGAGACGACGGTTAGATGCACACGGTGGTTCTGCGGAATGAAGATAGCAGAACTCATACCCTTCGTTCTGCTTTCTGGAGGCTCCAGGTTTGAATGACATTGGGCTGTTGAACTTGCACCTCATGCCCATGGCTTGAAAGGACTTAGCACTTCAGTACGGACCTCGATGACGCAGAAATCCTCAAATCCCAACTGTGCAAGAATCCTCGGCATTGAGATTTGCATTGATGTCTGCCATCAGCAAGTCCAGGTGGCTGAGGACGACCCTGTGTTTGTCAGTTGCAATCAACAGAATGTAGTCAAGTGAGTGGGAGGCATGGAGCCTGGTTCTTTTAGCAATCCTTGGTAGACAGATCGGCGCAAGAACAAATGTCTTCTTCCTTAGCTTAGCTGCCTTCCACCTTCCACCTCCAGCTCACGACAATGTCCTGTCAACCTTCAATGACACTCGTCTTTCAGAGATACGGCAGGACCAAGTCTGCAGTAGCATGGGGTCGGTGGAGTGTCACTGACTTAGGGTGAATTGCGTCTTAATCCTTCGCACCGACCAAGCAGCAAGATCACTTGGCGAGCTTCAAGACCAGATTGACGAGCGAATTTAAGCACTAGAGCCGGCGCAGGGGTAAAAACATTCCGACGACCGGTAGGCATATCTCAAGCCGGCTTTCTGGTCCCATCTCAGATGTTCTCGCGACAGCCCCATGTTGACCTGGAGTGCCAGCATGTCCAAACTGACCCTGAACCTTCGTTCATTCCGAAGCCCTCTGGGAGCCCAAACCCCATCCCTGATCCCCCCGATCCTCTTGAAGTCGGGCACCCGCGAGATACACAGAAGTGCGGACAGACAGCGCGACACCGTGTGCGGCGAGAAGAGCCTTGGCGTGAGAACCGCCGCGGGGAAAGACACGATTACTATCCTGGCCGGGACTTTCAGATCCTGGAAGGTTATATATATATATATATAT